GGCTGGCTGGGAAATGTTCGTTTAAGGAACTGGTTCAGTGCAAGGGAAAAAATGAGTGAAAATCATCTCCAGAGTAAAGAAAAATGATCTGACATCAAGCCACGTACAAAGGAAATACCTCTGGGTTGCCAGCCAGGCTCTGCAGTGGCCAATACAGAGCAAGAACACTCAAAGACTCTTTGCAAGACAACAGCAGGATGCCTCAGGTTTGATGCTTGGCATGTCGTATGAAGGTGCCTGAAGGACTGTTTCACGTATCAGGTCTAATCCATCCTCAGCTGGTCTGCGGAAATGATTAGCCATGGCATCGTCAGTCTTTGCTTGGAATCGCTAGTCCTAAATGCATCCAGCGGCGTGTTTCTCTACAGCACACCTCTGCCCTGGAGAGAGGCACTGCTGCTCGTGCAGACCTGAAGTCCTTTGCTGGTTGCACACTGTAAGACCTGATGACAGTTCATCATACTAATTTAGAATCACAGAAATATTAAATGTGAGCTATGCCTGGCCAGCTTAGACCGTTGTTAGCTACCCCAGAGGTCAAATATATGCTCTAAGATCTTCCCGAACTCAGTAGCGTTAGACAGATGTTAATGAGGCCAAGACTCGGCTATCAATTACTGTAATTGTCCTCCCTCAGCCAGTTGCCACAGTTCATAATGTGATCAGACCTAGTGCAGAGACATGGAGACCATGGTGGTACCCAGCTCCGTTCCCTGGCACAGTGCTGGTGCTGTGGGCTCCCCGGGCAGGGCAGCCAAGCCTGCGCTCCCTGAGCCCCGAGCAGGGCTGCTTAAACACCCCGGCACTTTACTGCACAGTGCCAGGGCTGCCAGACATGGATGATTTCTTAATTTCTTACCAAAGGCCTTTTGGTGGTCAGGTTGAAGTGTATGAGGGTGTGCCTTGCTAGGACACCTTCGTACAGTTTGATGTCTTCACCTTCTGGTTACTTTTCTTCTCAAAATAAATAATAGAAGTGACTAGTCTCATGTTAAGCTCCTCCATCATTAGCTCATAGATTTCTTGCCCCATGCTTCCCTCTGTTTCCAGGTTGCTGCTCCAAGCGTTTTCTGAGAGGATGCCCTACACCTTATTGACAGTCAATAGGCTTGTTATGGCCTTGCTTTCCCTGGAACTTCTCCGGAATAACCTCTCTCCTGCTGCCATACTCCAGGACCCAAATCAAGGGCTGCACCAAGGAGGACTTCACGTGTCCTCCTGACACTCTGACTTTCTCAGCCCTGCATACAGGCACACGTGACTGAACGTTCCATTGCACTGCGCGCGGTTTGTTGTCAGCATCCTGTCGGGAATGAAACTGTAGAGGTGTCGTAACGTGATGGATGTGCTGCGATGGCAGAGCATCCTTGCGTGTGACTTGCTAATGTCACTATTTGGCTCCGAGTGTCAATTGCTGGTTAGAGTTTGTTGGAATGAAGTATTAACTGTAGATTGCTGCGGCTGGTATCTAATTGCAGAAAGCATTGGGAAGCACTTGGGCGACAATTCAACAAAGCACTTAAGCACCCACTGATTTGTAAGGAAAGGCCCCTTGGCTGGGATTGCTCGTGCTCTCAGACGTCATCAGAAGTGTTTGTTAGTGCGCTAGTTCTGGCTGGGGTAGAGTTAATTCTCTTCACAGTAACTAGCACGGGGCTATGTTTTGGATTTGTGCTGGGAACAGTGCTGCTAACACCGGGGTGTTTTCGTTGTTGCTGAGCAGTGCTGACACAGCGCCAAGGCCGTTTCTGCTCCTCACCCCACCCCAGCAGCGAGCAGGCCGGGGGGCACAAGGAGCTGGGAGGGACACGGCCAGGACAGCTGAGCCCAGCTGCCCCCAGGGATGTCCCACACCGCACGGCGTCACGCTCAGCACAGAGCTGGGGGAAGGAGGAGGAAGGGGGGGACGTTGGGAGCGATGGCGTTTGTCTGCCCAAGGCACCGTTACGCGGGATGGAGCCCTGCTTTCCTGGGATGGCTGAGCACCTGCCTGCCCACAGGAAGTAGGGAATGAATCCCTTGTTTTGCTTTGCTTGTGTGCGCGGCTTTTGCTTTGCCAATGAAACTGTCTTTATCTCAACCCATGCGTTTCCTTACTTTTACCCTTCCCATTCTCGCCCCCATCCCACCGGTGGGGAGCGAGCGGCAGTGTGGGTCTTAGTTGCCGGCTGGGGTTAAAGCATGACAGTGAGTGGACCAGTACTTTCTCCTGACTACCTCAGCACATCCATCTCATTTTCTGAAGTGACTTAAGGAGTTGGGAGTTCAAGGCTGACTGGAAGTCTGCAGGAAATAAACTCCTAAATCACTGCTGTACTTTGAAAAGTCTACTCAGCTGGACAGCTTCTTTTGCTGTTCTTCATCCTTGCTGTAATAAATAAAATTATGACGGCTTTAAACTACTGCTAAATTGTGAGGTTTGCCTTTGCTTATCTAGATGTTCCTGTTGCAGTGGGGTTACCCAAGTTATTCTAGTATGTAATGGTTGGAGCGCTCTTTCCAAATGCAGACATAATGCAGTTTCTCAACTATGTCTTGCTAACAAAGAAAGGGGAGAACTGGCAGAAGGAGGGGTGCAGTGAGAAGTGATAGGAATGACTTAACCCAAGTGGGATAACGAATTCAAAACAGCCTTTTATCTAAAGCAGTCCATGATGCCCACAATGTAAGTAATCATTGAGAACCACGGTGTGAAAAGTCTTGCGAATCAGTGAGACCATGGAGTAACACTTAGGATAATAATTGATTTAATATGACAAAGAACAAATAAATCAAAAGTGGAGGTTATGGTTTAGGTGTGCTGGTTTTAAAGCTTGAATTAGAAGTAGCCATTTTCTCAGAATGTAAGTGGGAGGATGGAGGAAAAGCGCTGGAGATTAGTCCTACTCAACCTTTCCCTCTGGACAGGAACCTGTGGCTGGGTGCTGAGGTGTTTCATTCCACTTACCAATAAACCAAATACTTTTTACTCCAGAAAAGTTCAGCAAAATGTCTTCATCAGAAGATAAAGGAAGCCCAGCCTAATCCACTGTGGTCTTGTACTATTTCAGTGGTTCCCTGCCTTTTCTTAGACAAAATACTTTGGTCCTTCCACACGTGCCTCTCTGCTTCTGGCATTTGCGTTCATCCTACCTGTCCTTTGACTGCTTGTCCCTCTACATTGCAAATGCTGCTTTGACTGTCCTCTCGTTCTCACTGCGCTTCTTCCTCCTTCTCTTCTTCTGCCACAGCCTCCTTGCTGTCTCCAGACTTCGGCTACATGGCTTCTTTGCTTCCCGTCTTTCCTGCTAGCTCTGCGTGCTGATGCAGGACCCCACCAGGACGCATGGCCTGGGGTGGGCTCACTCCTCTACCCCACTCCCACCAGCAATGCACCCGCTCCCTGCGTACCAGTCCAATTTATCGAGATGCAATTTGCTATGTCCTGCTGATACAAGTGAGGCTCTGAAGCAAATTGCTGTCAGATCAAAGTCGTCCCTCATCAAGGGGAATCTTGCAAGGTCCATGTTTTTAGCTGATGGCTCTTCCCTGTTAGTGAAGTATTCCTGATGGACTTCTTTGATATGTTGGTATGGTCAAGAGGAAAATCACATTCAAAAAGAAATTCAAAAAGGAGGCTGTGTCAGAGCATTCACACCTCCTGTAAATCTCTGTCCTTGTTCCAGGTTTATTTTTAGCTTGTGTAAGAATGCTGCTTAGCCAGAAGTGTTACACAGTGGTCCGCTGTATGGTACAGACCACCAGCAAGCTGCTAGTAAGTGGCTATGGTACCGCTGTAATCCATGACGAGTACTCAGGTCTCTGAGCAAAGAGTGCTGGGATGAGCAGGAACTGTGAATAATTGCACTTTACTAGAAGTCAAAACTGATTTCCAGAGGTTACCCAACAGTCAAGCATTTGTCGCCCTCCCCATCCCCGTGACTGCTGATAGTGGGGGAAAAAAGGGATTGTTATGCTAAAGTAATGAGCAAAGAGGTCAGAAAGTTTGATAAGAGCAGGAAAAGTCATTTCCTGTGATATCATTAGCAGTATTTTAGGGAGCAGGTTCAGTAATTGCTATGGTAATTCTGAATGGCTTTTGACTGCGAGAGCACATAGGTAATTTTTTAAAGTTAGCATCTTTGCTAGTGGGAAAGAATTCCACTAAAATAAGGCAGTATTGTGTTACAGAAGGGCACGGGCTGGGGGCTTGGGAAGCAGAGGCTCTACTCTGTGTTGTGTGACTTCTCCAGGCTTTGGTTTTTCTTCTCAAAATGGTTTATGGTCACATATATGCATCAGTGAGCAAGCACAAAAGGAAATTGTGAATCTCAGGATGTAGCTGCCTACCAAGGTGACGTCTCAGATGGAGCAGATCTGTTGTGCACATATTTCAGCAAGTGCGTGCCTGTACAACAAACGTCATGCATTTGTTATTGCTGCACAAACTGCAAAATCAGAAAGGGTGGCAAGTGCTCTTTGTGGGGGCAAATGCAACATTTGCTTGAGTGGATCCTGGGTTTAGACGTATCAGACCTAATTATGAGTTAACAGCAGACCTTCTGATGGTTCCCCTGGGAGCACAGGCAGGCTACAGTACTGTGGGCCTTCTCCAGGTTGTTTTTGAGCAAAGTCATTGATATTCCTTTGCTTTTCAAGAGATGCTTTTAACCTTCCAGAGAATGAGAGCCGCTACAAGTCTGTGTGCATGCACACTTGGTTTTCACTGTGTGGATGGGAAGTTTGCTGGTCCTAGCTATGTTGCTTCTTTTGAGCTTTTATCACATCTTACTCTACCTTTAATTGGTTTAGTGGTGGACTTGGTAGTGTTAGGTTACTGGTTGGACTGGACGATCTCAAAGGTCTTTTGCAACCTAAACGATTCTATTATTCTTTGGGGTTAGAAAGAGCAAAGCCTGCAAGTCCCTATATGCTGGAGAGCAATGAGGAGAGGGCATTCTTCAGAGTATTTTACCTCTCCGTGGCTACCTGGGTTTTAATTGTTCCTTTCTTCTCTCCAGGTGCAAACAGATGACCTACCCAGATGACCTGCCCCAGATCTCTGTGGTCTTTATATTTGTAAACGAGGCACTCTCTGTCATCCTGCGCTCCGTGCACAGTGTTGTGAATCACACCCCATCGCACTTGCTCAAGGAGATCATTCTGGTGGATGACAACAGTGACAATGGTGAACATACCTAGCTTTTCCTCTAAGTAGTGTATCCTCTGGGGCTAATGGACACGAAATGTAAATCAAAGGGGTTTGGTCACTACTGGCTGAAATGCTTTGGTTTTTAATGTTGGGATGAAACAGCACTGAGTCATTCTGCATTTAAACAGCCGGGGGAGGAAGGTCATACGTGCAACAACTGATTTACGGCTAATAAGCTAGATCATAAGTTGGTGTAAATTAACGTACCTCTTTGAAGTCAGTAGAATTTACCAGAGCTTCGGTTGTTTGTTGATGAAAGGGTTGATTGAGCCACTTGCACAAAGCTGTGAGTAAATATTAACTATCTGTATAATAAATAAACACTAAGTGGATAGACCTGGCTGATTTCATTGAAATCCTCACAGGATGAATGATATTTGTATAGGCTATAATATAGAAATGACACTTTTCTCCAAATTTTCAGATCTAGAGGAATATCATCATTAATAGACTAAATGTTTAAATTCTGCTTCCAAGGAAAAATGAGGCCACAGATTCTCCTTAAAGATAGTTTCCACTCTTTTACATGGCAGCACACTCTGCTTCTTCATGATTTAAACAGTTGTTGATAATATCAGATTTGGGGTCTGATGGGGTTTTGGGGTTGTTTTTTGAGGTAGGGAGTAAAGTAGACTATGAGAATGAAACAGAATGGGCACGAAGCACATGCAACTTTCAGGTCATCTGGTTCATTAATGTAAAAATACCACTTCTGTTACACCAATTGAAACTCAAAATATTGGGGAGCATATAGGGTGCTACTGGGCAACATGTTTCACAGGATGGTTGGGTTTGGAGAACTTTCAGGATACAGGTGACTACCAGTGGTGTGTTTTAAGCTGTTACCCCTTAGACTTTTAGAACCGTTGCAGCTTCTCAAATTACATTTGTTAAAATAAGGCTTAAGTTTAGCATTTCCTTTACAGACCAACAGCTTTAAATCTTTCAGTTTGAAGTTGCTGTTCCTCCTCAAGATCCCCAAAGAGAAAGGAGGGTTGAGAGAACAAATCACTGTAACAAAAATAAGTTCCCAAACTTATAGGTTTAAGAAACCTTTTGTCCAATTCTGCTTTCAGTTACGACAGTCTAACCTATGGAGTAATTATGTGAGATTGCAAAGTGTTTGAGTCGATATAATACAGAGGAGAATTGGACTCATTGTTTCTCAGTGAGCTCTTATATGGCTTTTCTCTGTCATTCTTCTAGATAACTGGAGATTTATCAGGTCTTTGATTCCCATGATAATGATTCTGCTGTGTAATATAGATCAGAAGAATGAGGCTTCTAATGTCCTGGAAGCTTCTACTAGTTTTCCTAATAAATACATTTGAGTAAAAGCCTCATTATGAATAAGTTGCAGTGTAAATGAATTACCAAACTAGATTGATTTTAAAAAATACAGAGACCATTTTGGTAATTTGCCTGTTTATAGGCCTATTGAAATGAAGCTGAATAAAGGAGTGAATGAGTTCTGCTCCATCTGTGGTTGAATGCCTGAAAATGAACAAAAGAGAAGACGTCTATTTGAAATCTTCAATATCCATTTAGTTCAACGGGGAAGAAGCCTGGTATTGAGAAGTCTTAATTATATTTAAGGGAAACCCCTTAAAAGTAAGGGAAATTAATTCTGATCTGAATTAGGTCTTGACCCAAAATCCATTGAGGTTATTTTTCAAACTCTTACTGAACAGCATAAATCAGAAAAAGAAAAAAATCACCAGTCTCCGATGTTACACTGGTGTAAGGTCAGAATTGCTCCTCCAGCGGCCAGTTGTAACCTAATGCAAATTGTCAGAGAATTGGAATAGTAATTACTTAAAAGTATTTAGACAAACTACCTCTTCAAAACAATACTCAAATCCACCAGGCCACGTTAAACCTGTGCAAGTCTAACGGTAACTGCTCTGACGTGTAGAGAATTTCTGTGAGCTGATACCCCTGGAACTGATCCATGCCACAGCTGCGGTACTTGGTTTGTATTTGTGAGATGGACTAAGGGTTTAGGAATATTCAAGGATTTCTTTCCCCTCCTGTTGCAGAATAAATCAAAGTAAAACATGACGTTGCTGGGCTTCTCTCATTCTGAATATTTGTGTGGGTTTTTTTGTCCTGCAGTTGAGCTAAAATTTAATCTGGACCAGTATGTCAATAAAAGATACCCAGGTCTGGTGAAAATAGTGCGCAATAACAAACGAGAAGGACTGATTCGAGCCAGAATCCAAGGCTGGAAAGCAGCAACCTCTCCTGTCGTCGGATTCTTTGATGCTCACGTTGAATTCAACATTGGCTGGTAAGTTGTTGGCTATTCCCACGGGGAGAGCAGCACTGTTCTGCTGTGCCCGATGGCTCAAAGGCTGTGAAAGGGATTTGCTTGGCAACAGGGAAGCTGCAAAACCGTGGGGATGAGATGGCTGTAGGCTGGCATTATCGCATTATCGGTTACTTTTGAATAATAATCTTGATTATTGCAACATTGCCGACAGTCTTCTGCAGTGGCTGCAAGATCCATAAAAAAGCTGTCGTGCCTGCTCTAGTACAGCTCAGTGGAGAGAGAAGGAACTGAAACCACAATGAATACGAAAGCTCCAAAGCAGCCAAATGGGGAGACACCATTAAGGAGGCTCTGGGCTGGAGGCAGATGCATGCTTTCAAGCACTTCTTTTAATCTCCTTGTCATTTTCTACCATTTCTTCTTAGAAACTTGAATACCAATCTCATTTCCTCATAAATTTTCTTGCATTTACATTTGAGGGAAACGTTGAATTATTTCCTGCATTTTTAATGGGGCTTGAAATTAGCACGCCTCTCCTCATCCCCGCTGTTTTGCAAGGTTGCAGTTACTGACTGTGGCAAGCACAGTTTTGGGCCTAATGGGGCAGATCTGCAGTTGGAGTAAATCTTTGTAGCACCACTTACTGGCCAATATTTGGCATTACGGGAAGTCAGGACTGAAGGAACTGATGTGTACTGTCAGCTGAAAAAGGGCTGCTGGGACCTTCGGTATGTAAAGTTGTGTATTTTCCGAAGACAGGCTGGTATTTGATAATGATGATGCAGCGCTGTGGTGGAGCTGATTATGCTCTGCAGTTCTGGGAGATATCCCCAAATTAAAACTAAAAATAGCCGTACCTACAACCAGAGAGAAACTTAATTGCAAAGGAGTGCAGTGTTTATTTTTACATGTTCAGGAATATCTTTATAAAATGGGAGATGCAATAAAATAAGTCTTGTAGTGCACCTGGTTTATGTTCACCCCGTTTTTTTCCCCAGGACGATGAAAGACTACAATAGCAGGTGCAGTAATTTTCTAGAAGCTTACAAGCTGGTTCAATATACTTATTTACTTTTAAAGCAACTAGATCTTTCAAATCATTGCAAATGTTCATGTAAGGTATCATCAGCTACTGGACAGAATCAGGGACTAGGGAGAGCATGCTCTGGGTGCTGATCCTGGTGCTTGTCCTGCCCAAGCTGCAGTTTTCTGCGCCTTGCGGAGAATTTTGTTATCAGTTCTATAAAGGACATTGAGCTCTTACTGATGTACTCTACCCAGAGAAGCTAAGCAGTGGTGTCAGTAAGCAGGGAAAGGGCTTGTGCTTGCTTTTGTGTGTGTTTGGTTTGGGTTTTTTTCAACCTTACTGCTTTGCATTAATGTCAGAAAGGGTTGAAATCAGCATAGCAAGAACCTGGACTACTCAGTAAATGAGAGTGTGTGTGTATATCCGAGATAATATATTATTATTATATAATATTCTGGAGCACTGGTCCAGAGGAGCAGCTGAGGGAGCTGGGGGTGTTCAGCCTGGAGAAGAGGAGGCTGAGGGGAGACCTCATCGCTCTGCAGCTCCTGACAGGAGGGGGTAGCGAGGTGGGTGTTGGGCTCTTCTCCCATGCAGTTAGCGATAGGACAAGAGGAAATGGGCTCAAGCCGTGCCAGGGGAGGTTTAGATTGGATATTAGGAGAAATTTCTTCACAGAAAGGGTGGTCAAGCATTGGAACAGGCTGCCCAGAGAGGTGGGGGAGTCCTCATCCCTGGAAGTGTTCAAAAAATGGGTAGATGTGGCACTTGGGGACATGGTTTAGTCTAGTCTGCCCTTGATTGGTTTAGAGTGGAGTTGGTAGTGTAGGTTAATGGTTGGACTGGGTGATCTTAAAGGTCTTTTCCAACCTAAACGACTCTATGATTCTTCTACCTGTTTCCTCCTAGTTTTAATTCCATCCACCTGTGCGCACGCAGTTGCCTGTCATCTCAATTTTCATCTCATCTTCTTTTACAAGGAGGGACTGGAAGTCCTTCCATCTGGACTGCATTATTTTTTTTCCCAACAGGTTAACATTACCCCCTACTCCATAACCCTATAAACTTGGTAGTCATGCGGGAGTATCTTGTTAAAGTACTGCTGTCCTGTTCTCCCCCTAGGTCTCATCTTGCATGAATATTTCCCCCCATTTTCAATGTGTATTCATGTATTCAGAGGCCACATGGATTGCTCCCACTCAAAGCTGTCTGTGGATTATTTGTGAGGCAATTAAAAAGAAGCCAATTCCTTTAGCACAGAAAAGAGCATTAGCTTTCCATTTGGTTTGTGTTCCATCTAAAAGTCAAGTACCTGCAGTGCAATTTTAGTCTTCCAATCTATGGCTGCTTTACCTGCCTAATCAGTTGGCAGATTAATTCATAAAGAATCAGAGAAGGACTTTATCACTTCCTCATGAAATATGCAGGACTTTGACAACAAGAAAACTTTTCTTTAAACAATAGTTGCCCCATTTATGGGTGAGCTTTTGCCTTGTATTGCACTATAGCATTTTACAGGCTCACACAGCATTGCTCTCCAGGGATGCTTCTTCTAAACTAAAGTACAATCTGGTAGGATATAAAAAAAATACTCTACAGCCCGGCAGGTCAAAGTAACTATTGAATTATTTATTTTGCTGTGCTTAATTGCTGCTTTTTTGCTTCTCAGGTGTTGAAATGTATTAGTGCAGAGCAGAGATTTTCTATTGACCTGTTCCCCTTAAGGCTTTTGATAGCATAAGCCCATTCTGCTGCTGTGAGAGCAGAAGTGGAGGGGACTAGCTGAAAGGGGGGGGCATTACTATTAATTCTCAAATGGAATTTTAAATTAAAATTACATGGTAATGTATGTGTACAGTTCATACATAAAATTCTACCTGTCCTGCAGTAGAACCTTGTCTGGTTTTAATGGTTGCTTAATGTCAATAGAAGCCAGCATCTAGAGCCAGCAACCCAGCAGAACCAAAAGGTATGAAAAGCTCCTGTACATTCCTCTCTGAGGGTGTATTTAAGCCTGCGTAGTTCTGTTTTCCCCTCAGTCCTCTGAAGT